AAGAAAGAAAGAAAGAAAGAAAGAAAGAAAGAAAGAAAGAAAGAAAGAAAGAAAGAGATCTTTTGTTTTCAGTATTATCGGAGCTTAGGTTTTTTTCTGTGTACTTCTAAACTGATAAGAACCGACAAGGGGTCTTGCTGGAGACCCTCTTCTAAAATCTAAGAAAATAAGACAGTAATTTTTTTTTTCTTTTAGAGCCAGAGTCTCACTAGGTAGCCCAAGCTGGTCTTGAGCTCAGGCTACCCTCCCTGTCTTACCCTCTAGAGTCCTGGGACTACAGGTGTGCACCATCATTCCCAGCTAAAATGGAACATTTTGAGTTTCAAACAAAAGATGGTCATGTCCTAAAACTAGGGGACATAAGAGGCTGTGACAATACTTTTTCTGATCCCCAGAACTCTGTCCCTAGAGCTGGTGGTGGCCATGGTTCGGGAAGGGTGGGGGTGGGGTAGACTCTCTGAGCTCCTGCCAAAATTAAGAGATCCAGTACACAGACAAAGGCATCTTTTCTTTGCCAGCCACCGACGCACAGATACTGTCCCATTTAAAGAAGTGACAGTGAATGCAGCTGCGGGAGCAGGAAGCCGGGCTGGAGGCCACCTCCAGCCTCACGCTGCAGCGTGGCCCACCCTGCTCTGCGCCCACGTCCTGCTCACAGCAAGCAGCACCGCTCTTTGAAACTCTTCTTGCTCTTGTTGCTTTTCCTGCCATTCTTGTCCTTGTTTTCTGACATCTTTTTCGATCGGATTTCTCTCATGAGATCAAAGAACACCTGGCAGCGGGGAGAAGGGAGAGAAGAGTAAGGAGGGAAGCCACTTAGTCACCAACCAGCAGCTCAATTGGCAGGAACGCACGTAGCTCCTGTGGCAGAGTACAAACGTACATTCATTCATTTTTTCTTTTTAGACAGGCTCTCCTGTAGCTCAAGCTGGCCTCCCATTGGCTGTGCATGGCCAGGCACTCCTGGTCCTCCCATACACCCTGGGGCTGGGATAGGGGACACTGGTGGTGGTCCCAAGGCAAGAGTTCCATCAACTGAGTCCATCCCAGCCCCCAAGACTACTTTCATGAGCCTGTTCCATTAAAAACAAAGCATCAACAATCAGTAAGTAAGAAGGCATCTACATCAGTAAGAACCGGATTTAATGAAACACCCCCCTCTCCGTTTCTCCCAAAAAGAAGAGCTCTGCCATTCCACACAGCTTCCAACACTCACAGGATGAGCCTGCCAGATCTTTTCCTAATAACATAATAAAAGTAAAATATGCTTTTTCAAGCACAGTTCTAGTGTGGCCTGTGAGTCTATTCTTCCCGTTTCCAGAAAAGCTAATGGGCAGGCAGTCCCTTGCCACTCAGCCCGATGACCTGAATTCAATACTTAACACCCACATGGTAAAAGGAGGGAACTGATTCCCATAACTTCCACATGTGACGGAATGGACATGTATGCGCACGCGCACACGCGCACACACACACACATGAAAAAAGGAAAGAAGAAAAGGATGAGTCTCTGCTCTGTCTAATCCCAAAATGCCTCATTTGACTACAAGGGTTAAATGCCACTATGAGTGACAGCCCCTCCTCAAGTTCACTTTAAAAGCCACCAGTGGCAAATCTGGGAAAGAGGAAGGCAGGTTCCTGAACTTGAGAGCTAGGGAGAAGAGGCAAAGAGAAGTCACAGCCTTAGTCCTCACCTACACCCAGCCCCACCCCCACTCCACCCGTTCTCCCCAACCCCATTGCCAAGATGAATTTTATCAAGAAAGATGAGCGGCTGGGTGTTATCTAGACAGGCCTTATCATCTGCCAGTGAGGTTTTGGGTTTTGCCCTCTGCTACCAACAATCACCAAAGGTCTGATTACAACCTAGCAGACAAAACATACTCCCTACAAAGACACACTGGAGATTTTCCACAGAAACTGGAAGCTTGACAAGGAACACAGGCTTTTTTTATCTCCACCAGCTCTGAGCTGATCTCAGAGACAAATCAAGGGGAGAAGCAAGTGTGCGAGCTGGGGGTGTGGCTCAGTTGGCGGCGCATTTGCCTAGCATGTACGAGACCCTGGATGGCACCCCAGCGCTGCACAAACCAGGCATGATGGTGCACACCTGTAACCCTAGCACTCAGGAGGCAGGGGCAGGAGGATCTGAAGTTCCAAGTCCTCCTCAGCTACATACTGATCTACAGGCTAGCTTACCATGACCCCCAGGCGCAGGGAAGGGAACCCCAAGTGTCTCAGGCTGGCCTCCACACCCTTTTTGCTAGCACAGCCATGAGTCCAAATTGACAGACTTGTGTTTGATCCTGTGATAAAAGGCAGGATGGAAAGAATTGTGGGATCATTCCACTGAAAATGCTGCCTACTCTGCTCCTGGGCCGAGCTTCTCCACAGCCTTTCTGGAGGAAAGCATATACTGAAGAAAACTCACTACCGTCACAAGTCGCTGCTCGGTACAAGTCCCTGCTGAGCCTTGCCTGCAGGTCAAAGCTTGTCCAGAGAGAGGGGGCAGAGATGATAATGTGCAACGCCCCCCCCCATAATATCCCAGAGAGTTGACTCCCACCCCCTCAAGAGCAATTTTCATGCTGACGAAGTCGTTCTGTTTTGTTGTCATTGTTTAGACAAGGATTCCTTTGTTGGCCCGGCTGGCCTTGAACTCTGCCTGCCTCTGCCTTCTGAGTACTGAGATCAAAGGCCTGTGCTACCAGGACCAGACAGCCCTCCTGGTTTTTAAAAGATAAGGCATAGGCCAGCTGTGGGAGGCCAGGGCCAGCCAGAACTGCACTGGGAGACCTTGTTTCAAGATGAAGGCAACACCTGGACAGCCCCTGCATCTCCCTCGGCTGGGAAACTGATAGGAAGAGAAGAAACAGATGTGTAAAAACAGGAGCGAAACGAGAGTTCAGATAACAATGTGAACAAAAGGCAGATGCTGGGCATGGCAGCTGGTGGAGTGCGCATGGCATCTGGCATACTCGAAGCCCTGAGTTCCACCCTGGCAGCCTGGCAGTCGGGTGTGATGCACGGCACCTGTCATTCCAGCATGTGTTATGTGGAGAGCTGGAGGTCAGTCTGGACTCCATGAGACCCTAGCTCAAGATAATAGACAGACAGACAGACCCAGCCAGGGAAATGGCTCAGTGGGAAAGGTACTTACTGCCAAGCCTGACAACCTGAATTCAATCCCCTGGGATCTACACGACAAAAGCAAAAATCTCATAGGTTCTCCTCTGACCTTCACATGTGTGGGGGGGCATGTGCGTGTACAGGTGTGTGCACACACACACACACACACACACACACGCAAAAATAAATGTAATTCTAACAATAAAGAAATAAGATACCCAAAGCAACCCAAACCGACGGATGACGGGACGATTCCCGCTGTGCCCGGGCTACGCAGAGGTGTGTTGCAGGCCCTGACTCCCACTTACAGCCAAACCCTCCTGATGTCCCCCAGAGCACCAAGCCTTCCCCCAGCTAGCCACACAGCATTTCCTGGTACGGTGCAAATCAAGGGAATGACACCCTACAGCATGAGCCTGGGTCACCCTGTGACGGAGATGAAGAAGAGGTAGACAGATCTGTGACCCAGCATAACCGGGTGCAGACGGCCCTTCTGCCTGTGTGGCTCTGCACTGATTTCGCAAGCCCAGGATGTGACGTAAGAGCCCACGCTGTGGCCTGTGAAAACAGAGAGAAGTAAGCTGTGAGGTGCTTACTTCAGCTGTGCGGTAACACCCTGAACGCTAGTGCAGAAGAAAAAGTCGAAGTGGCCTTGTGCTTGGGGAAAGCCCAGGCTCCATCCCTGGCACTGCCGGGGTGTGGGGTGCATGCCTGTCCTTCCAGCACTGGAAGCTGGAGGGGTGAAAGCTGGAAGAGCAGTTCAGCGGCCTCCTCAGCTACACAGGGAGTCTAGGCCAGCCTGTGTAAGACTTTATTAAAAAGACAAAAAGGGAAGAAAAAGAGAAAGAAAGAACAGCAGAAAATGACACAAACGTGTGATACCAGCCCCTGGAAGATGGAGGCAAGAGGACAAAAAGTTCAAGGCTATCCCTGGCTATATAATTAAACCTGAAACCAGACTGCAGGTGTTATGAGACCCTGTCAAAAAGAAAAATGAGGAGGAGGAGGTAGAGGAGGTGAGAGAAGAGGGGGAGAAGAAGGAGGAGGAAGAGGAAGAAGAGACTCGGTGGTGGTGGCAGCTGGAGAGGTGGCTCAGTGGTTAGGGGAGAGTACCATTCTTGCAGAGGACCTGAATTCAGTTCCCAGTACCCACACCAGACAGTTCACAACTACCCACGCCTTCAATTCCAGGGGGTCCTACGACCTCTTCTGGCCTCTGTGAGCACCTCCACTCACATGTGCAAAACCCTACTAGACACACACACAGACACAGACATTCACACAGACACAGTCAAAACAGAAAGCCACGTTAAGATGGCTGTGTCTGAAGCCGGCGAAAGCCAGTTTCCAAGACCCAGGAACTCGTGCTACCTTGTCCACATTGGCCCGGGTCTTCGCTGACGTCTCCACGTACTGCACACCCCACTCCTCCGCTTTGCCTCGGGCCTCATCCCCGGGCACCTGCCTCCGCTCCTCCAGGTCAGACTTGTTGCCCACGACCAGCAGCGGGATTTTATCCTCCTCGGCCTTGACTCGGAGGATCTGTTCCCTGTGGGTGATGTGTCAAGAAAGCGAGGTTAAGAAAGCTAAAGGAGAGGGGAGGCGCCGTTGAGATGGCTCAGGGGCTGCAGGGGCTGCCCTCCAGACTTGAGTTTGATTTCACGGTGAGTGGTGAAAAATGACTCCTGCAAGATGCCCTCTGACCTCTACATGAACGTTATGGCGCCCGTGCCAGCGCGCACACACAAATAGATAAGGTTGCTTGGTTTTTATTCTAAAGCCAGCCAAGAAGTCAGCCGTGCAAGCAGCTGGTAGTGTGCCTCAGTGCTTACAGCGAATCCAAACAGCTTGGCTAAAGAATGAGAGGAATCATCCCATTTGAGGAGTATTTCAAAATGGGTCTCTACTGGCATCATGATCCCCTGGTCTCCCTCCACCTGCAAAGTTCTCTGCCCCACACTCCTACAGGAGACATCCACACAGGAAGCCAGGAGCCTGCATCTTGACAGGGCTCCCGGTTTATGGGGGAAACGAAAAAGGTGGAGGCGGGGGTTGGAGAGGGAAGAAAAGGAACCCTCTTTGAATCTCAGGGATGAAAACAAACTAAAAGGGACCAGGGCTATGGCCCAGTTGGCAGGGTATGAGCCTTGCATGCAGAACCCCAGGCTCCACCTCCAGCACTCTACAGACAGGCAAAGTGGCCATGACAGCCATCCCAGCACTCAGTGGAGACAGGAAGACCAGAACTTCATGGTCATCTTGGCTACATGATGTAAGTTAAAAGCTAACCGAGGCTACATGAGACACTGCCTCAAAAATAAACAAACAAACAAACAAATAAATAAATAGATAAAAAGACTAAACAAAGAAAAAAAAAACACCATCAAACGCAAAGCGATAGCTCACAAACATTTTTAATAACTCCAATACAGGGACAAGGGAGAAAATGTTTCCTGTTTCATCCTCAGGACTGCATCAAAATCAGACTGTGATCACAAGAGTGCTACCCACATAAACGCTTCCTGACACACTCCCACTGTCCTCCTCTGCCTATCGGTCCTCTCCACACACACATTGCAGCTGTAGAAAGTCAGGACCTTCAGCTCTGGAGGTCTGAGGCCACAAGCACGGCTAGCGGCCCTACCTTATCACTTGCCTCCTCTACCACAAGGGCTGAGTTCAGCCCTGACACCTCCCCGGGGCTGCCTTCCTTATCTTGGGAAATGTTTAGCTGACTCCCTTCGGTTGGTCATCTGACTTCAACAGAAGAAAGAGCTTGTTAAAGCATGGAGGCTGGGAGCTGTGGAGATGACTCAGCCAGGAAGGAAGCCTGGCACCAAGCCTGACTACCTGAGTTCAATCCCTGGGACCCACATGGTAGAAGAGAGACTTCCCCAAGTCCTCCCCAACCCCCACACATTCTCTGTAGCACAGATAGACATGTGCACGCACTCCACCCCACACAAATACTAACATAGAAAGACATTCTTAAAGGATGGAGAAAGGAAACTGGGAAGAGGGCTGAGGTATTAGTTTGTTCCCAGGGCTGAAGGGATGGCTCAGCAGCTAAGAGCACTGGCCGCTCTTCTAGAAGACCCAAGTTAAATTCCCAGCAAGCACTTGGCAGCTCACAACTGTCTGTTAATGCTAGTTCCAGGGGAATCACACAGACATACACTAAGGCGAAACACCAATGCGCATAAAAGAAAAATAAATATTTAAAAAAGACTGTTCCCAAGAACCACATTAAAAAGTCAGATGTGAGAGGTGATAGCAAACCTGTGTCCTCAGCACTTGTGAGGTGGAGACACATGGTCCTGGGGGCTTGCTCACCAGGCAACCCCACTCTTTGATACACTGTCTCAAAAAATGAGGTAGACAGTGAAGACAGTTAAGGTTGGCCTATGGCTTGTTCACACAGTGGTTGGAGAGATGGCTCAGTGGTCAAGAACTGTGGCTGTTCTTCGTGAGAACCCAGGTTCAATTCCCTGCATCTACATGGCAGCTCACAGCTGTCTGTAACTGTAGTCCCAGGGGATCTGATGCCCACTCCTGGCTTCCACTGGCAGCAGGCACACAGATACATATGCAGACAAAACACCCATACATACAAAATACATAAAACTAAAAATAAAAAAGGATTAGGGGGAAACCGCAAAGTGTGGTTTTCCTTTTTCACTGTTAGACTCTCAGGTTCTTAATACAAAACACTGCCTTCCAGGTGTGGTGACACACGCCTTTAGTCACCGCTCAGGAGGCAGAGGATGCACAAGGAGATAGAAGCAATGGCGGACCCAAGTAGACCACGGGTCAGAAAGCCCTGTGGCAAAGTTCAAGGCAAAGCTCTCCCTCAGCACCGCCACTGTACTGAACCCCACATTTCGAAGCCTGGCCCCTCGGCAGGAGGGTCTGGAGCCCAGCTCTCGCACCTGAACTCGGCCGTGGCGGTGAACGACTCATGCTCCGTAATGGAGAACACGAGCAGAAAGCCCTCTCCGCTTCGGAAGTAGTTGTCTCGGATGGCGGCGTAGTCCTCCTGGCCGGCTGTGTCCAGAATGTCTATCTGGACCTCTTCTCCGTCCAGAACCACTTTCTTTCTGTAACTGTCGGCTTTGGTGGGCTCATAGTCTTCCACAAACTGGGAAAACACAATGAAGGAGTACAGTCGGCCCTGATTCTCCATCTGAGTGCTTTACCATCGACTTTGTGTTTGCTGAATTAAGGCACTGGAGAAGACATCGGGGATACTAACGATCCTTCCTCTTTCCCTCCCTCCCTCCCTTCCTTCCTGTGACAGAGTTACACTATGTAGTTCAGGCTAGTCTTGAACTTCTGAGCCTCCCATCTCTGCCTTCTAAATGCTAGAATAACAGGCACGCCCCACTATGCTTGGGAACCCTTCCTTTCTTGATACCTCTAAGTTCTGCTATTTTTTTTTTCTTTAAGGCTTTCAACAACAGAGGCAGAGAGCCCCATTTTACAGACAGGAAACCAAGCACTAAGCAGAACTCTTAGTCAATACAGCATAAAATTATCTTACAAAAAATGAAAAGGCCTGTGATAACAATGAACAGAAGAGATTAAGAGCACTGGCTGCTCTTCCAAAGGTCCTGAGTTCAATTCCCAGCACCCACATGGTGGCTCATAACCAGCTATAATGATGCTTGGTGCCTTCTGGCATGTAGGCAAACATGCAGGCAGGACACCATATACATAAATAAATAAATCTTTAAAAAAATAATGAGCAGAAGTATAAAAATCAGCCCAAAGGAATTTGGCAAGAGGAACCAGAATGTAGAATAAAACCAACTGAGGGCCTGGGGGATGGTTTAATGGGTAAAGTGCTGACCAGAAAGCCTGAGTACCTGAGTTCAATCCCCACATCACGCATTTGAAAACAACAACAAAAAGGCCAGAGGCTGGAGAGACCGCTCAGCAGTTAAGAACACATACTGCTCTCCTAGAGGACCCGACTATGTGTAGCTCCAGGCGCAGGCGAATCCAACGCACACAGCATGCATGAGCCCATGCACCCACAGGCACACACGCACACAGTTATACGTGGGCACATGTAATTACAAATAAGAAAAACAAACCTTAAACAAAAGCCAGACATGGCAGCAGTGCGTGCATATAACGCCGGTGCTGGGACAGAAAGACCGGTGACACCAGGGCTCACTGCCCAGCCGGCCCAGCCTACTCTGAGCTGGGGCCAATAAGAGACCTTGTCTCAAAAACGAAGTGGGCCACGGCTGAGGAACACTTACCTGGGGTGTTCTCTGACCGCCACAGGCACACTTTCAGGCACACACATGTGCACACGTCATCTGCATAATGAACATGCTCACAGACATGTGAATTAACAAACAAATCCGGTCGAGCACTGAAAGCAGACTCGGCGAGACCCTTATTACCTTGAAGTAGAGGAGGCCTTTTTAACTATGACTCAAAGTCTAGAAGCCATGTAAAAAAAAAAAAAATTGATAAATTAGACTTCCCAAGAATGAAACCATCAGAGGCACGACACAGCACAAATGCAGGCGCTGAACAGAGCAAGCGCGGGCCCCACGGGCACAGGGCTCTCCTCTTAACACACACCGGAGGGGAGGCGCGAACATCCGACAGAGAGTCCCCAAAACAAAAGCAAGGAGACACGATCCCCTCACTAGTGCAGAAGGAAGGAAGGAGAGAGAAGGAAGGAGGAGGGCAAGAAGAGGGAACGGGGAGGTAGAGAAAGGGAGAAAGTGCCACCCTGAGACAGAGCATTTTTGCTCCCCGTCGGGACAGGGGACGGGACCATCCCACAGAGAGACCTGTGACCATCCAATACAATGAGAAATGTTATCCTCTGACCCTCCCCACATCCAGCTCCTAGGAATCTAATCTCCAGAAACACAATAGCCCCAAAAATCGAGGGAGTCACTGTGGCACCAAATGGCATCATAAAAGATGAAGGCCCACCCAAATGCTCAGCAAATAGCTGGCTACTCAACAAAATACTGCACTGCTGATTCCTACATATGTGTCCCCCAAAGACGAAACAAATCAAACGCTACCAAAAAGAAGAAAAAAGAAGAAGCAGATTAGCCTCCCCCAAATGTGTATTTGGTAATAAAGCCACACAGAGCCAGGTATGGTGGCACACATCTTTAGTCCCAGCACTCGGGAGGCATAGGCAGGCAGATCTCTGTGAGTTCAAGGCCAGCCTGGTCTAGAAAGGGTGTCCAGAACAGCCAGTTGCTCCACAAACAAACCCTGTCTTAAAAAACATAGATAGATAGATAGATAGATAGATAGATAGATAGATAGATAGATAGATAGATAGATATAGATAGACAGATAGATAGACAGATAGATTAGATAGATGATAGACAGACAGAAGCCATACAGAAAAATTAACTAATTCATGAGAATTTAGAAAAATATTTTGTTAAAATGCACTCTCCTTTAAATTATTTTTTAAATTACAGTTAGTGTGTGTTTATGTGTGTGTGTGAGCGTGTGTATGTGTGGGGAGCATGTGCTAAAGCACATTCGTGGAGGTCAGAGGCTAACCTCAGGCCTTCATCTCCCACCACGTTTGTAAGGCAGGGTGTCTTCCTTTTGCTTGCCACTGCACTCCTGCTGGGCTGGCCAGCCCAGGAGCTTCTGGGGAGTGTCCTGCCTGCACCTCCGATCTTTCCACAGACGTCCTGGAGCTACAGATGCTCCTACACCCAGCTTTTACCGGGACTCCAGGGGTTCCCACTCAGGTCCCCATGCTCACATGGTGAATGCCACCCACTGAGCTGGCTCAGCCGGGCCCAGCGCTCCAGAGGTGAGGCAGAAGGACTGCAAGCTTTAGGGCTAGCCTGAGCAATCTACAGAGACTGTGCCTCAGCCTCTTGAGTGCTAGAATTACAGGTGTAGGCGACCACACCTGCATGAATCGTACATGATTAAAGAGTGAATTTTGGACCAGCAGGATAGCTGTGGGTGATTGTCTCGAAGCCCGAAAACTTGAGTTTGAATCCAGGCCTCATGTGGCGGAGAGAGAAAAGCAGCCCCTCCCTGCTGCCCTCTGACTTCAGGGTGCTGTGGCATGCACACATACACAGTTAACTCTTTTTAAAAAGCATAAAACATCCAGGGCTAGCCCATCTCTCCCTTATCTGCAGCCATGATGAGAACCGCTCTTAGACTGGAAGAGGATTCTTGATCTCAGTTTTGGCACAATGTATGGATTGCCAGAACTACAGGAATCCTCCCCGCTGCTCTCCACAGCCATGCCTCTGCTGTGATTTAGCTCCCCCTAAACTCCAGGCTAAAAGCTGGTGGCCAACGTTACTGTTAGGAAGGACTGGGGCTGGGGATGGCTTGTTTGGTAAAGTGCTTGCCTTACAACCACAAGAAACTGAGTTCAAGTCCCGGACCCCACACAGAAAGCTGGTGTGGCTGTGTGCATGTGAAGTCAGGGCAGGGGAGATGGAATGAAGTGTTCCCAGGTGTTCACTAGCCAGTCAGCCTAGCCTCGAGAGCACCAGGACAATGAGACCCCGTCTCAAAAGCCAAGGTAGACAGGTACCAAAGAAAACCCAGCAAGGTTGTCTTCTAGGCCTCCACATACACCCCCCCCCCCCACACACACACACACACCACAGAGTTAATAAAATTCATGAAAAGGTTCATTTTGACCCATGGTTTCAGAACTTTCACCCACAGTTCTTAAGCCACCAGGTGAGGCAAAGTATGGCGGTGACAGCACACAGCAGAAACCTCCCAGCAACCAGGAAGCTGGAAAACAAACAAACAAACAAACAAACAAACCAGAAAGGGCCTGGGATTCTAACATCTCTTTAAGGACTCACTTCCAATGACCCAACTTCCTCTTGCTGAACTCAACTTCCATACTTGGTCCCTTCAAGTCATTCAAGACACAAACGCTTGAAGCTGGAGAGTACCTACGTTGGCAGAGTGACACACAGAGCCTGGAGCTCCATCCCCAGAGCCTCATAAACCAGGCAAGATTTATAATTCCAGCAAGGGGAGGCAGAGGAGGATCAGAAGTTCAAGGTCATCTTTGGCTACAGAGTGAGTTTCCGGCCAGCCTGGGCTACTTGAGATTCTGTCTTTAAAAAAAATGTTGGAGCTGGAGAGATGGCCCAGTGGTGACAAGTACCTGCTGCTCTTGGAGATGCCAGAAGCTTGGTTCCCAGAACACTGGGCAATTCCAACTGCCTACAACTCCAGGGTATCCAGCTCCCTCTTCTGGCCTCTGCAGGTAACTGCACTGTTGTGCACTCCACACGCACCCTCCCCCCCACATACACATTTTTCCATATGCATAGAACTTAAAATAATAAAAAAAAAATAAGTTACAGCACCTAGAAGAGGCCTCTCTCTTGCTTTGCTCCTAGCTCAAGGAGAGTACACATAAAGTGGAAATGCAGCGTGGGGAGAAAATCCTTCCACTCCTACTACAGCTAAAATCATACCGTATCAGCAACGGGGGGATCTTCTGCTGAGACTCCCTCCCCTGAAGCTATTCAAAAACCGCACAGGGATATGGACACAGAACACCGCTGGAGCGGGCACACACGATGCCACAGTGGGCACGGTCCCTTGGGTAGGGTGCGCTGGCATCTCTTACCTCGTCATACATGAACTGAAGCGTCAGCGCTGACTTGCCCACCCCTCCGCTGCCGACCATGATGACCTTGTGGAGGGCCAGGGAGCCCTGGCTCTTGCCCTTGTTGGCAGCCATCCTGCTGGTCTGAGGCGGTGACACGTGGACAGATGGCCCAGATGGGGAGCTGCAGGTGACAGAGACAAGAACTCAGAGATGGCATGCGTTCACTCTATCCAGTTGAAATCAAACAACACATGACATGCCTACACATCAAACATTTGATTTTTAAGGTATGTGCATGTGTGAGTATATATGCCTGTGTGTGCCCACACGGGCATAGCGCCCTCAGAGGCCAGCGGGCGGGAGTTGGAGGTGGTCATCAGTGCTCTTAGCATCAAGCCATTTCTCCAGCCCTCGCACTTAGGAAACACCTAACCCATTCCAGCAGAGAAGGGCCTCTTGAGGAAGACCCATGACAGTCTGATAACTCTGAAGTCACTTACCCAAAGGAGGCCAGAATAGTACAAAGCTGAGAGAGGAGAAACAGGAGTGGCTATCCCAAGCCTGCACCCCGAGGAAGGGCGGCAAGGGGCAGTCACCTTATAAAAGTCAGTACGCCCGAAGCCGAGGACGCCTCAGTCGGCGAAGCGCTTACACGAGAACCTAAGTTCAAGCTCTGAACCCCACGTGAAAAGAGCCAGGCCTGAAGCTCGCACCTGTAAGCCTGGCACTCAGGCAGAGGCCCTTGCAGTCCCAGCACTGGAAAGGGAGTGACAGGCGGATGTCTGGGCTCAGTGGCCTGAGAGTCTGGCCAACCATGTGAAGTTCCAGACCCACAAGAGACCCTGCCTAGAAGCAGAAGGCACCTGAAGAGTGACACTCAAGGCTGTCTCTGACCTCCACGTGCATGCCCCCGCCCAGTCTCCCACCTCTGAATCACGCACACACACATTTTAAAGCAACAATAATCACCACGGGGCTTCTGGAAGGTGAAGCAAACCGGTCAAGTTCCAAAAAGAGCTATCGGGGGACAGTTTGGGGGCCTCAATATCCAGCTCTGTATTCTCACTTCTCTCTTGACTCATGTCCCTCTACTCCCCACCTCTAAGACACACACACACACACACACACACACACACACACACGCTCATGCACCTGCATGCACACACACCATGAGTAAGCAAGGAAGAGTTAGAACTGAGGTAACTTCTCCGTGGAGAAACCAAGACTCTCAAGGAACCATCTTCAAAAACACAGTGGAGGACTGGTGACATGGTTCAGCAGATAGAGACATTTGTCACCACGTAAGACAACCTGAGTTCAGCCCGCAGGACCCACCCAGTTGAGCGGAAACCTATTCCCGAAGGTTGTATTCTGACGTCCACACACGTGCCACTGCACGGGCACACCCTTCACATACAAAATAACAAAAGAATCCATTGGAAGAGTCAGGCCTGGTGCCGCATGCCTTTACCTCAGGACTCTCCTGAGTTTGAGGCCAGCCTTGAGCACAAAGTGAACTCCAGGCCATCCACAGCTACAGCAACAACCTGTCTCACGAAGCGGGGGTGGGGAGAGGCATGTGAGGGGTTGGGTGGGGACATGGGACAGGACTGGACCAGTGAGATGGCTCAGCAGTTAAAAGCACTGGCTGCTCTTCCAGAGGTCCAGGGTTGATTCCCAGCACCAGCACAGGGGCCCAGAACTGTCTGCAACTCCGGTCCCAGGGAATCCGATGCCCTCCTGGCCTCCACAGGTGCCAGGCAGGCACATGGTACCAGATGCACAGGCAGGCAAAACACCCATATGCATAAAACAAATTTAAAAAAACTTTTTATTGACTAGGTTAGAGGAAATAACATTCTAACGACAACCAAGAGGCTCCTTGATGGGTCCTGACACGGGCAGTTTTCTTCCTCCCAGGCCAAGCAATTAACAGGTAATGCATGCTGTAGCCGGAGACCCAGAGAGCCAAGGGGCCTCTTTGTGAAGGAGGCACAGCTTGGCACGGCTCACCACGGGGGGCAGCACACACCCACCGTTCCAGCCTGCAATCCCAGAGAGCAAGTGAAGGGAAGTCAGCACACAGCCCCGAGAGGACTTCTCAGACTGGGGTTTATACAAACAAGGCCTGATCAGCGTTCACAGAAGCAAAAACAGCATCTGAGGAAAAAATGACACTATTGAAAGACCAGATGGACGAAACAGGAGTAGTGGCCTTTAACCCCAGCACTCAAGAGGGCACAGGAAAAATGATCATAAGTCCAAGGCCATCTCCAGCTATATACAGCCTTCAAGGCTAGCCTGGGATACATAAGACCATGTCTCAAATTTAAGATAAAAAAAAAAAAATTCAAGTCAGGTAGACCTGAAAATTGTCACTCAGAATTCCTAAACACTGTGTGTGTGTGTGTGTGTGTGTGTGTGCGCGCGCGCGCGCGCTCGCGTGTGTATAGAGTGAGTGTATGTCTGTATGTATAGTGTATATGTGGGGTATGTGTATACAGGGTATGTGCGGCTGTGTGTGCATATGTGTGTCTAACATGTTTCTGTGTATAGTGTGTCTGTGTGTCTGTGTGTGCATGGATGTATGTGTCTATGCGTGTATGTACAGTGTGCATGTGTGGCTGTGTATATGTCTGTGTGCATAAATGTATAGTATGCGTGTATGTGCAAGTATGTGTGTGTTCATGTGTTTATTCGTGTATAGTGTTTGTATACATGTTTGGGCGCATGCATGTATGTGTATGTGTGTATATGTGTATGCATACTGAATATGTGTATGTACAATATGTATAGTGTATGTTTTGTGTATAACAGTATATGTGTATGTATGTGTAGTATATGTGTGTACATATGAATGTATAGCATGTATACATATATATATCATTGTATAGTGTGTGTATATGTGTACATACGTATAGCATGGATGTATAGTATGTATGTGGAGGCTAGAGGTTGACATCAGGTATTTTTGTCACTGTCCACTTTTAGTTACATGTATGTGTCTATGTTGTTTATACCACAAATATGTGGGTGCCCTCATAGGCAGAAGAGAGCCCCTAGAGCTGGAGTTACAGGCAGTTCTCACATAGGTACTGGGAACTGAGCGCGTCCTCTGGAAGAGCACTGAGTGCTCTTAAGGCCAAGCCATCTTGGTGGCTCCTCGACCTCTTTAAAAATTACATTTCCATTTTTGAGACAGGTACTCTCTTGCAGCCCTGACTGGCCTGGAATCATCATGTGGACCAGGCTGGCCTCTGACTCACTGAGGTCCACGTGCCTCTTCGTCTGTCTCAGCTGCTTCCCTAGTGCTGTGATAAAACGCCACGAGCAGGGCGGTTTATGGAAGGAAGGATTCATTTGGCTCACGGTTTCTTCATGGCAGGGAAGCAGAGCAGAGAGCAGCAGGCACAGAGGCTGGGACATAACTTCTTGACCCACAGGAAAAAGCAGAGAAAGCGAAGTAGAAAAGGCACAAGTCTTTGAAGTCTCAAAGCCCACCTCCAGTGACACACTTCCTCTAGCAAGGCCACACCTCCTAAGCCTCCCCAACCGGACACTAAGCATTTACTGCCTGAGCCAATGGAGACCATTTCCCATTCAAACCATCACGGCCACCCAAGTTCTGGGATTAAAGGCTGTGTCCCCACACCCGGCCACCCACCTTATCTTCTGAGAGAGGGTCTCACTGTATGAAGCTGGTGAGCAGGAAGTTGAAGGGAGCCCCGTCTGCATCACCACCCAAGAGTCAGTCAGAGATGTGGGCTGCCAGCTTTTTACATGGCTTCCGGGGACCTGAAGTCTGGTCTTCACCCTTGCAGAGAGCTGGCTTCGTAGCTGTGTTCTTTGTGGGGACTGTTTTTTGTTGTTGTTGGAGCAGTGTTTGGTTTTTGTTTTCTTTTTTCTTTTTGACACGGTTTCACTGTGTCACTGAAGCTGGCCTGGAAGTGAGGATTCTCCCTCCTGAGTGCTGAGGCGTGGTCATCACACCTGGCCTGGCATTCACTGTTAACTGCATACCTCCGCTTAAGTATGTGTGTTCAAAGTCTTGTGTTCAAAGCCCTTGAGGTCATATGTCTTGTTTTGCCAACTTTTTTTTATGGACTTTATCTGTTTTTGAAATCAGGCAGACTGAACCTAATTCATCCTTTTCTCAACGATTTGGGGGCCTTTAGCATTGGTGTTAGCTCCACGATTGGCCGTAGACTGCTCAAAGTCAAGGTCCTACATAGATCTGCTCATTTCTTTGCACTTCTCCCGGTATCTGCCCACCCCAGGCATCCGCCCTACTCCCCCTGTGCTAATTAAGCACTTTTAAAACAGTGAGCTAAGCAATTAGCTAGATAATTAAGCACACCTGAGCGGGGCTAGAAATAGATGGACTGGGGTGCAGGCGCCCCACAAGGCTGTGATTCAGGAACTTGAGACCGCCTCTGGCCTCCTTTTCAGCCTCCCTCTCCTGCAGAGTTGAGCCAGGGGGACCACAGCTCCTCAGCCTTGTTTCGGAGAGCGGGATGAAAAGGAGCCGACACGTGTCCGAGGCGGGGGCAGGGTGCTTTCAAACGTGCAGACACCGAAGTGTGCACTCCATCCTCGGCGTGTGCGCATGCGTTGCACGTAGGTTTTAGTGTGGGGTGTGCCCAGACACACGAGTACGTGCATGAAGGTGAGAGGTAGACGTGGACGCGGGTTTTCTTTCCTCAGTCGTTTGCCACCTCTACTTTTACATTCTTTATTTGGTAGTTAACTTTTTGTGCTTGTGTGTGAACGTGTGTGCACCCACGCCAGCAAACATGTGTGGAAGGGAGACGAAGGATTGGGAGCCACTCTCCCTTCTACCGTGCGGGTTCCAGAACTGAACTCTGGTAGACAAGCCTGGTGGGAAGCCATCTCCCCAGTCCTCTTTATATTTTGAGACAGGGTTTCTCCGATGAAACGGAAGTGAGCGTCAGGATCCTCCCAGTGCCGGGGTTGCTCTCGGCCTGGCTTTCCGCCGAGCTCTGGCGATCTGCGCTCAGGTCCTTGTGCTTGAGCGGAAACCCCCAAACACGCAGTCTCCCCAGCACCGTTTACTCCTGCTTTCTGTTTGTGTCTTTTGTTTGTTTTCATTTTAAATAACGTCGATTTCTATGTAGGAAATATTCGCCAAATAATCACTGAAGACAACAACCTGGGGTGGGG